CTTTAGCTTTTGAGTCAACATGTTGCTAGGGGAAGGAATGTGTAATTTTGTGATAGCTACTGCCGCTTGTAAGCTCTGATCTCCTCTGGTTTCATCCACACCTACTCTCCAAGCAGAGGTTTGGGCCTTGGCTTCTTTTTGACGTGTTGTAAGGAGTTTTATCACAATTTCTTTTCTGTGCTGGTACTGTATCTTTTGTTAAGTGATAACTGCCTGACAAATGGACACACCCTGGCCAATTTGATACTGTCTTTGCAGCCACCAAAAGATCTGCTTGGAGATATACATTTACACCAGGCTCCTGGTACATGTTCAGGCCAGTCTGCTTCTTGTAGCTGGTTCACCTGGTTGAGTACATCCATGTATATTGATAATGTAAATCCAAACAAACTATGAGTCTAACAGACTCATGCAAAAACAAACCGTTTATTGTGGTAAAATGATAGACAACTACAAATCTGAAACATCCTTCCCATGACTCATGTTGGCCCAGGGCCGTATCCTCTCTAACAAAAACAACAAATCTGTAAAAACAGTAATTATTTCTCAATAAAGACAAAACCACAATGAGAAATCCATCTTCCACACAGGAAGCAAACTCGGTGTCAACGAACTCTGACGATTCGAGTTCATTGACCAGCCATGGCCAATGAACAATCTTCAGTGATATGCTAAAGAACGAAGCAGAAATTTCATAAAAATGCTGTACATCTTATTTATCTATTATGTCTTAAAGTGATACTTTATGGCTTAAAATATTTAACACCTAGCTGTAAGACAACAATGCACTCATAATTACGCTGGTGTCAAGACTATTCCTCGAAAATCATGAGAAGAAAATTTTTCTCTGTCCACACAACTTTTTGAACCTAAACCTTGAACAAGTTTTGAACCTGATATGAAATTACATGTACGCAATTTCTTGGTACAGGACAATTCTTACGAAGTACATTTCGTACACGGTCTATTCCACAACAAGTTTTAACGACCATGATCTAATTGACCTTGAAGCAAGGTCGACGCCAATGGAGGGTGGATACCTGACACTAGTGATCATCGTCAGGATGTAAAACGTAATGAATACGTCTGTTCCAGCAGCCTTCATAGTTGGCGGAACAAACACGCAATGTTTTCCACACAGGAATGACCCAGATTTTTCACCGGAAAAAAACACTAGTCGCTTCTATATATAGTCATATCTCCACACTTCATACAAATGACTAAATAATTGCTTCATAAATTCAAAAATGGCTGAAACCTGCTTTTCTGTAAATCATTTTATGTCTATGCCCAGTTTTACGTGTTAACAGATTCAATTGTTGAGAGAAAATTCAGATTGACAGTTCAAAATACAGAGATCTAAGAAAGCCAATGTTAATGTTATCCAAACTTTTGCAGGTTGTGGCAAACAAATCTACAACGACCACTTGTTTTCCTCAACTTTTCATCATGACATCTGCCCTTTTTGAAGGTGACAACTATGCCACTAAATCATTTCCAACTGAACAGAGTCGTGACAGTTACTTACGTAGGTTACACAGTGGGAAGGTAACTCCCAAACACTGTCCGGGTGGCCTCAAATGCGTCACGACTTAATGTCTCGAAAAGTGAACAGAGTTTCAGGCTAAAAGTAAAACTGTGTTGGCTGCCTCCCTCTGTAAACTCTACCATGATGTGATCACAAAAGAGCTTGTTCCAGATTTGAGCCCTGCATTTGTACATGTTTGTGAGGGTGAGGGACGTTCTTTGTGACATGTGTTGGTTCAGTATAATGGCATTTATTGATGCAGCTTTTAAACACACAAAAACATGTGACAGAGCTGGAGTCTCGGTCAGAGATGGTGTACAAATGACGTAAATGACCCCGGCAAGTCAACTCATCCAGAACACGCCATCAATGAAATTCACAAGTGAATACAATACAGCTGAACGATGATAGAAAATAAGATACACTCCTGTCGTTGATAGTCTCAAACTTAAACTTCTCTACAAATTCTACTGCAAGAAGTTTGCTGGGTCAAGTGAGGCTGTTATAGGGGTAGATGTTTGGAAAAGGTGTTCTTAACACCCCATACAAACCCAGCTTAAGTCAGGACAATGACCCCATCACCAGGCCAAAAATCCGTGTTGCCATGACAACCCAATGACTCAGGTGACTACCCTTAGACGTGGTTTATTTCAAAATGCCACGGAACTGTCTGCCACGTTTCTCGCAAGTCTCTCAGCACTCCAAATGTGCCAATGTGTCCAGAATTTCGCACGTGAACTCTTTGGAAACAGACATCTTTCTACAGTCTTGTCTGTCAAACGTTCCCTAGCACATTGACCTGGGCAAAGAGCTCTAGGACAGGTTCAAAGTCCAAGACTTCTTTGCTTGCAAAGTGGCTTCTCCACATTCTTAAGTCCCTTGTAAGTCTACTATAGACACCTGTTAATTCTGTCCACAGCAAGATGAAATTTGACTTTGAGAAAATATTTCAAAGACTTTTGATATCCTCTTTTCATTACTATACAGGTACACCTGACAACATGAGCCATTGGTATTGTTCAAAGAAGTAAGTAAGAAATGACTATGGAATTTTCTCACTGTACGTTTGTAACTACTGCTAGGTACATCCAAGTCCCAAAGCTTGGGAAGAAGTCTTCAAGAAACTGGCAAGAAGCCCAGATGTTTCACATGACCTTGAGCATTTAGAGCAGACTGCAGAGCTGACAGACTTGTGGCACATCGAATGAGGTACTGTTTTTAGTAACCTTGTTCATCAATATTTGTGCCTAGATGTTCTGATAGTAAAGGTCACTATGTTTAGTTTAGATAATGCCAAGAATAATAGAGCACTGTGTACTCTTGATCAAAGTACATACTTGAAATAGTCATTAGTTTAATAATGGAAGACTTGAGGACATTAACAGCCTTTGTTGGACTTACAAACACTTGAGAGAAATGATTGACAGTTGTAAACAGTTGAACAAATTCATATCACAATGCCAAAAGTTCATCAGTTCCATTGATTCCATCAAGCTGCCTGTCCCTCCAGATGAAATGGTACCTTCCAAAATCCAGCTCTGTGATTGGTTGAGAAGATATTACATAACTAACCTTCTGAAACCTATGGGGAAATGATGTTGTAGATAGACTTTATTAAGAACTGGCCTTGATCTGGTTCTTGTGATAGCTTGCATCTCTCCAGATCTTTGACACCATTTCTGATGACTTTGATTTTCTTGAAATGGACAGGACAATACATTTACCCTGAGCTAAACCAACCTATTCTCTATGTTAAATGCTAAGAGTGTGAAACGCATTAGGAGATGGTGACATCACCAATATCCTTACTTTTCCTTGCCAGTAATTGAGATCACAGCATCTCGAAAGGCTGACCGGTGTTCGAATCCCACATATGGAACTTTTCAAACTTGCGCTGTGATGAGTCCAAACACACTGTAAGTCAGACAAAGCTAACAAGTGCCTGAGGGAGAAGGCTTAGGAATTCGAAGTGGTTAGCTTAATTTAGTCCAAGAACTTTTGATAACACAGGGCTGCTGACTGAGACTTGTAGTACAAGTACCCACGTTCAAGAAAAAAGGACGACGCAGCATTGCTATATATAAAACAGAACTTGTAGGAAGAAAAGAATGCACAATATCAGAGGCCAGGATCAGAAGCTTATTACAAAAGAATGCACCACTTTTGAAGTCAGTATCGCTAGTGGAAAAGAAGCCAGACCCTGAAGGTTAGAATGCTTTCCTTATTTTCCTGTCCTTTGAAAGACAGTAACTTTGGACAGGAAGTCGAATTCTTAATCCCAGACTTCTGATGAGATGCAGAAAGAATCTGACCCAGTTTGGGAGAGACCGCATTGGCCTTGATTTTCTTCAAACTGTCTGTACATTTGTAATCTTCACTGTACAACAAAAACAACAACACAACAAGGTACCGACAATTTTTGCGGTCAACAACACAAATGACTGTACAAGAAGCACACACGAAGACTGTACAAAGAACAGGTCGTGGTAACAATCACACAACATTCTGAATTTCCCTTCGGGCAGCGAGGTATGTTGCCTATGCTAATGAGGGGAACAGCTTAGTACTGGGCTCAGTCAAAGGCTCAACCGCATGGTAACCAGCGGAAAAGGTCAGATAGGGATCTGCAGTCTAATCGTAAAACCTATCTTCTGCGTTCTTCCCTTTTCGTTGCCGATCCTATGTTCAACGCTTTGAGTCAAACCTTAGCATTTCAAACTGCTGCAATTAAGTTCATCGTTCACTTTCAAGTTTATGCGCTCACATTTTATCGGTTCCCTGACCAAAGTGGAGAAGCGATTCTTATAACCGATAACCTGTGACATATGCCACATGACATAGCCAGTAGCGACCGACACAGCAAACCTTTCGCTTCGACGTCAACTCTTTGATGGTAATCAGCAAATGGTAGAAAATGCTCCGGATACCTGCACAATTAAGGACCCGTAAAAAAGTTGATGCAGTAAAAGATTAGCTCGAACTTCGGCTGTAAATAGAGCCAAGGACATGCCCAATGGCGATGCGTAGGACCTTTTTAACCTTGAACCAATTTAAAAGGGACAGGTGTGACAATGAGCAAAGGCGAGTGTCAGATGCACACTGGGGAGAGTGTGAGGGGGAGGGGAACTACATTACTCCTGTGCTACAAGGCCAAGAGAAGCTGTCCATCCCACACAAAAACTGTCTGGATGTGTTTGCTCGAGAGCCGAAACTTTTCTGGACCTTGGCAAGCCCTCAAGTGAATATTCTACTGGTAATGTTACTTGTGCAGGGTTGTGACATGTATAAGTTTGAGGCACAATAGCTGCATGAGCTAATCACCATTGTCTGACAGCTGCTGAGAGAAGAAGATATTTTTAACCAATTTTGGCCAGGGATCCAAGAGAGAAGGCTCGGGACAGCCAATTGCAACATTCCTGTTTCCACTCGAGAATTAAACCTATCTTGACACACATAAGCAGAAGTAACTTACCGAGAGCTTTTCTTTTTCGTAGAGAGCTAAATCGTCATGGGGAAAGCGCTCTTGGACCTGCATCATTTTCATCTGGAAGGAAAAGAAATCATTTGAGTGATTTTGATCCTGAAAAGGCTACAAAATATGCTTCACTTTTTGTCAATCATAAGGACATGGCGTGTTATGATTATTGGTGCGGACAAAAATATACCAGTTGACCGTAAAATTGCTTATTGTTATAGGCATACGCTACCTTTCTTGTTGTCAATTGACATGAACATGATATATACACACACTTCAAACAGGTACCCCTGGGGGGGAAAGTTGGGAGTCATTTTCGTCTGTAGTTTTGATAAGATCTAAGACAGTGGAACAGACGCTTAAATACTTATCTGCTGGTATCTGCAGAGACTTTTACATTGCATTTACCTGGACAATGAGTGAAATAAGATCAATAAGTGAAAACATCACTGATTCAATAAATCAATCCCACATTCAAACTTACCTCATACACTCTATACACAAGGACAGTAAAGAAAACATGCGTAAACAAAGCCTTCACTTACCGCACTTACTACACTGCTGCCGTACATGGTTCTGACTTGTCCTTCCAACTGAATATGAAGAAGTAATATATACTACAACCTAACACTTCATGTGGATGGACAGACAACGCTTGCCCACACACAGGCTTGCTGAAGAGTCATGCCGTACAAGAACTCGTATCTCTAACATAGCACAGTCGCCTGATCAGAGATTACGGACAAGGATCCACCTCAGCGATGACCTGACTGTCTGGAACTACTTCTTGGTGCTACCAGTTTCTTCCAAGACGTCTTGAACAGACCGACAGTCTGTCAGCCTGAGTCACCGGGCTCCTGTCAACTTCCGAAAGGGAATGGGTAAGTAGGCATGAGCTGGAAACGTTGCAGGGCCTGTGTCTAAGTCCTGCAGTGTGATAGCTATCTTTATCAGACTAGTATGATGTGCTTTAGGCTGTTCCATTTTAAAACTTGAAGGGGTGGCAGGGTACCTTTGTATGCCATAACCAACACCCACATTTGTCTATACCTCCTTTTTTGCTGTATTTACATATTCCCTATTTACATCTATTTATGAAACAACTTTAAAACACAATTTTTAGGCCCCCTGTAGTCCAGTTTTATATCACAATTGGATGGTCCACCCCTTCAAAATAGGACTAACCTAAGATTCTTTATTAACTGATTATAATATATGTCTAGTATTTGGTGACTTCACTGTTTAGGGATGTTGTGCGTGAAAAAAACAGGAAAATAACATAATTACCGACACCCCCCTTTCGGTTATTACCAAGAAACTCGATGTTAATCTTTTTTTGGTCAGAAAGACAGGTGACCTCCAGGCGTCAAATCTCTTTGCAGAGGAAATGGTTTGGATATTTCTGCCGACTGACGCATCTACAAGATGTGAAGTTGGATCGGCCCTTCCCAGAAATCCATCAAGACCTCAAGACTTCCTCCACAGTTGGGTGTGACTTGGCAATACAGATGATTAAGAAAGTGAACATTCTAAGGATAATATTTTGACAGGGCATGAAAGAGGTTGAAGGTATCAAATTTTGTCACAACTGTAGAAATATAACAGCTGTCAAATCGCAGCTAGAATTCAGCATAGTGTCATAAGTTATTGGAGTTCTCCACCTTTTTTGTGAACAGTAAAAATTCTAAGGGTACTATTTTGACAGGTATGAAAGGGGATGCTGGTAGCAAATTTGGTCACAACATATTACTATTAGAAATATAACAGCCCATAGAATTCAATTCAGCATTGTGATTGTAATTCTCCAGCTTTTTTGTGAGGTTGAATCATCAAAGAGGCCATTCAGCTATTTATCTAAATGCGACGGTCACAACTGGTATCTGCAATCAATCAAATCCCTTTTCAATCCTTTCATCAGAGACCTGTTTGGAGGTTGTGGTGGCGGGTATTGATTGACAGAGAGTGTTACTTAATGGGCACATGAGAGTCAACACTTGTCATCGCAGGGAAATAGACACTGTAACCTCTAGTCTGACAGATGAAAACCTTGCCCTGGAAGCCTTCCCACAGAGGGCCTGAGATGCCGCACATTTCTCAAACAACTGGAGACCTTGCGCCGACTCATTTTGGACGTTACATACGACTTACTAGGTCATTTGCTGTAGACAAAGCAAACCAAAAATTGTACATTTGAGGTCAAACCAACTGATAGGTAGAGATGTGGATGATAAAAAAACATTTTTCAAATACTCAAATACTGTTGTACAAATTCAATTCAAAAAGATATGCTACAGAATTATGTATTCAAGAAAATTGTAGATGTTTGTTTTTTGAGAAAATTGTAAAATTAGTGTACCTTACCAATGGGAGCTTACTGTCCAAGCCCAGCACATTCTAGATTAATCTGAGTGGCAATACCAATATTATTGTACCACATCTCTTTGTAACACTACTAAGAGCTGTTTACATGCCCCAACGCCAAGATAAACAACAGTGCTTAGAAACAAAATAACACCAGTCCAACTGTTGCAATGGATCCTTCTACTCTCCCATGACGTTTCTTGCCACTGAACTGAGTGTGCAGGTGTGTCCTTGGTAATTACGTCTATCAACGCTGGTCCCCCTCACACCAAGATTAGACTAAGCCAAGTTCAAGACCTTTTGAGTAGAACACTCCAAACAAGGTATTGACCCTAATCTGTACAAGACAGGTGGCGTTTGAATAGAAACTGTAACGGTATTGTTTGGGCCGAACACTTATCGTATAGGCATGAACCTACAATGCTTTTTCCACCATTTTCAGTATAGTCGGTTTGATCATACCTGGACAATCAGTCTCTGATCATAGATGATTTTCATATCTTTAACCCCTATCTAAATGCCAAATCTGATGCGAGTTTATACAAATCTGAACAGGTCTACACAGTCTATTCCTAATTGCATGTGCACATTATTTCCATCTGTGTATTTCATACTTGTAGGCAGTGCAATATGTTTTACCACCATTAATGATTCGTCAGCAGAACGTATTGAAGGAAATCATATTTTTCATTGGAATTTTGGTCAACATTCTGCAAAACTGCTATGCACTATACATTACAGGTTTAATACAGGCACAGTACATCCTGCCAACATGCGCTCAACACAAGGAACAAGATCAACTGACTAGCATCACCAGACCGGAATGTATGAAACACACTATCCTACCCAAGGGAAGCCAAATTATCCACGCACAATCACAATTACACACCGGTGGTCAACTGTATACCAACCTGCACAACAGAAGTTGGTTTACTGCTTGTAGTGCCCATCTTTTCGAACGATGAACTTGCCTCTACATGTGCTCCGCAAAATTTACCGCTCAGTCAAATCCCTTGGCAGATTTGTACAACAAGATTGGACGGCCGTCGCCTAACCTTTTCCGAAAAGCACGCTCCGTGTGATGAACGCGCCGTAAGAAATGTTTTGACATGTTGAAAGCAACATGTGATCAGCCACGAAATGAGGACAACTCTCCATAGGATGCGCTTACGGCGAGTCTTGAATTAATTTCCATCTCCACTGGACGCCGAAAATTTCCAAATAACCTGCTCTTTGAAAAATAGACGATCAAAAGGTAATCATACCTGGGCGAGCGGATATTCGTGGAATTACTTGAATCGTTTCCATTAGAAGATGTGATTTTCCGAGAACTAAATCTGTTTCCATGGTAGGATTGATGTCAACGGATGTCTCTTTATTGAATAACATGATTTCATATTTAGGTTAAACAAATAGAATAGATACTATGCCTTAATATGGTCACTGACTGTTGAGCCATCGCACTTGCACACCTCTGCGTTACTGTTACACAATTCTGATACGTGGGCCTGCATGGGGGGTACTGATTACGAATTACGCAAAATTTTCAACGCCGGTTACGAATTACGTTAAAGTCTTAGAGCTGATTACGACTTTATGATTTGCAGCTAATGTACTATTACGAATCACGTTGATTTTTTGGGAGGCTGCCTACAGATTACGAAGACTAAAAAGGCCTGATTACGCCTTACGAAAAAAGGCATGCAGGCCCCCCGATATGTTTTCAGCATCATAACTCCATCCCTACAAGCCCTGTTATTCTGTATTTTTAAAATTTACAGTTCCCTTATCTGACCTTCTTCCTTCCTCTTCTTGGTACAGCGTCAATAAACACGCAGACGGACACTCAATCATACGAAAGCAAGGAGGTTTGCTGACCCTAAATTCCTCTTCCTCATACAAGGCTTGAAAACAAGGTCTTCTATCATACTGTCTCAAGAAACAGACAACATGTTGTGACATTTCTTGTTGTATGCATACAAACCTTGCTCCTCTGTTCCCTGGCTGATGAAGTTGGTGATAATATGATGTGATCCTTCTTACTTACTTACTTTTCACAGAAACAACATCTGTGTAAGGTCAACGAACTTACAAATCTAGGTTGAAGATGTAGGTAACTATATGATGTGGTCCTTAGGCCACACTGACTTAATTTTATGGATGACATCCGCGCGCGCATTGATTTTCGCCTGTTCTCAAAAAAAAAAGATCACGTCATCCAAGGCTCTGGCCTGGATAGTCCATGGTAGCATGCTATGTAGCGACAGTACGGGGCTGGTGGTAACTCTGGAGGATGGCACCCAGGCTACCAAAGCTCCACGACTCAAGACCTGAATACATACGTACAGTGTCGATTTATAAATCCGCAAAAAGCCAGCATGTGCCGCAGTTCTGCCGCAAATTCACAATACCAGCTTTTCCTTTGTATTCCTGTGGTTTAGTAGCATTTTTATTTTTGGCCGGATTTTTATTTTATTCGCCCGCGCGCACTAGTTTGGGGGTCTTCAGAGGATGTCATCCATAAAATTAAGTCGGTGTGGCCTTACTTACCTTCCAGAATCAACATCTGTGCAAGGTCATTCAACTTACAAATCTAGGTTGAGCCCCAAACAATACAAACACAATTGATTTTCCGCGCTCCATACCTCATTTTCTGCAAAGTTGACCTCCTCTTCGCGCTCTGTCACCATCTGTTGAGGCAGAACGCAACACAGAAAAATTTACAACTGCAAAAAAACAATTTTGCTTCTGCTTCTACTGATACACGTCTCAATTTTTCAAGTTTGATACACCATGCCTGTATCAAACTGATTGCTACAATGGCTACGATGTAGCAAAGCTTGCAGTAGTGATTTACAATGCAAATTTTGCAACATTTGGATAGTATATGGACAAACAGGATTGGAGTATGTTGAGGCAGATGTCGTGAGCCTGCAATCAATTTCATGCCTCAGGTGACCTCAATACACCATGATTGCCCAAGTCTCACGACTGTCGTACGTTTAAAAATGATACGAAGTAATAAAGGTCCATTATGTAACTTTTTGACAATACAAAAAGTATATTTTTCAGTCTTTTCTTTACATAGTAAGTTGACTTAACCCTTTAGTATTCCAGTAACTGTTGATGACACCAAAATTTAGTATAATTAGAAGATTTCAATTTTTTGCATACAAATTTACATAATGGGCCTTTAAGCTGGAATAACGAAACTATAAAATACCTTTTGGACGCGGTTTGCTGCCTTGGTGAGGTCATCGAAGTCAGGATGGTCTGACGGAGTTTCTTTGAGAAGGTCGGAGAGGATCTTGTTGTACTGAGGAACTCTCTGCACCTGTACAACAGAAAAAGTGAGAAGTTGAAACCGGAAGTTCTGCTGCAGTACTATAAGAAGCTGCTAGGGAGCCAAAAATCTAATCATTTCGAGGTCTCATCAAGACCTACCGACCTACCAAGTTTCAGGAAAATCCATCCATACCTTCTTGAGTTATCGTGCTAAACCATATCGTGCTACATGCGCTACCAAAAACATATTAACCTTCTTGGCAAAGGTAAAAAGGCTCCATAAAGGATCAAAAGAATCATACAAACAGAATTCTTTGAGTCTCTGTACCTTCAGGCCAATATCATACAAAGTAACTTTTCCTTGGATTGGGATACAGATAGTATAGCCAGGCCTGCACTACAGGCAATGCCCCACATGGGTGGGACACACATTTCACCAGCATTAACAGCCTTGGATACATTCAGTGTTACCTTACAATATAAATTTGTGCCAGCTTGGGTGACTCATAATTTCATTTCGGTATCAACTACCCGCAGACAGATACGGGACAGACCTGTCTCTGGCTAGAGACTTGTCTCTCGTACCAGTAAGTTCCTGGTTCTGACTCACTTATCAATCCACACTCCATCTTTACCTTCGCCAAGAAGGTTATGTTTTCAGGGGCGTTCGTGTATGTGTGTGTGTGTGTGTGTGTCTGTCTGTCTGTCAACACGATAACTTGAGAAGGCCTTGATGGATTGTCTTGATACTTGGTAGGTGGGTAGGTCTTGATGAGACCTCAAAATGATTAGATTTTGGACCCCCTAGCGGCTTGTTATGGTACTGCAGCTGAACTTCCGGTTTTGATATCTCATGATCTTGACATGCTATGGTGATGAAATTTAAATGGTAGGTAGCTCTTGTGCTGGGGAAGAAGTGATGTGAGTTTAGGCCCCCTAGCGGCTTGCTCTGGAACTGCAGCGATATATTCTTGAAAATATTCAAAAGGGGATAACTCAAGAACCGGTTGACGGATCGTCGTGATTTTTGGTATGTAGGTAGCTTACGTGATCCTTCATATAATTATGTGACAATTGTGCAAATATGGATATAATTTGCATAATTTATGGGGAAATTCTATAAATCAGCTGCATTCCATGATAGGACAATTAAAGCTTGTGACATTGGTAATTGACAACGAGAGAAACACAGGAAGATATTGATTATGTTAATAATGACCTAATTTGCATAATTAATGAGAAAATTTTATAATTATGTAATGATAACTGCCTGGAATTTCATACTTGTGGTATTTGAAAGTTAAATTGAGGTGAACATCATTAAACATAATTTATTCAAATTAGGATCTCATTTGCATAGTTTATTAGGAAATGCTAGAATGCATTGTTTGTTAATATAAGACTGTTTTTTTGGTTGAGATTATGATAAAATGATATAATTCATGAAAATTAGGTTCCTATTTCTTAAATCAGGGGGAAATAATCTAATCTATAATTTGTCAGTCATAAAGATTAACATCATTTGGCGAAGGTATGAGATCGGGGAACTCTAGTTTCAATATGTTTCACCGGTATCTGTTTCATATGCCGATTCTTAGAATACCCCTCGTCAAGAACTGAACTGTGTGACATCTATTTCTGTGCATATGAATACAAAAGCACTAAGATACTGTAGAAAGATGTCAGAGGCTGTCTGAAAGCTTCTTTACTTTAGTATGACGAGTTTAAATCCTTCTTTACACTACACTAAGATGGTTTCTTGATAGTCAATACTGTGTAGTGGCATCAATTTCATCCATGGTATTCTTACTCCATGGCACTACATTGTGTTATTCTTTGAACATGCCTAACAGGTTATTGTGTAACAGAAAAGACACCCCAGAAATACATTCCAAACACACAAGATGGTGAATGAAAAGCCTTTTGACAAACTTTGTGTGAAATAAGATGAAGGTAAGAATAAGTTGCTAGAAGGTACTTCAAAGAGGCACATCCCTGTACACATTGTACCCTTTCCTTATTCTAAAGCCTTGGTTGTAATTTTACCAAAGGCATCACAATCCCACAATCCAGCCGATTTTCACGTTGGATGCCTTAGATGCTGACCTAAATTCTTCCTGTCTAGTTCTTAAGGACGTCCCACTTAACCACAACCATTTAATTATGGTCTAGACGCAACTTAATATAATTATCGAAACGAACACAAACACGAAAAAATTCCTGTTACTTCCTTCTGCTTTCAACCAACTCACTCAACCAACTTTTAAGTATCAAAATATACCAAAGTAGGACATATTCTTCAGTCAATAAACTAGGACAAAGTTGGAGAAGTTCACAGTAACATTGACCTGTGCCTGGATAAAGCCATCCTATTACAGTAAGGGTAATAGACTCGTGACCTGGAACTAATGGTTCAGATACTACTGTCATTGGAGTGTCAATCAAGTGTCAGTCAAGCCAGAGGTCCAGTGTTCAAGGAGAGCCACCCCTAAGACATAGACCATGTTAAAGATCCCACCACACCTATCGAAAAGGGTATTTGTCCCAGATTCAAGCCATAAACTGCTTGTAAAAATCTTAGCACAACAAATTTTTGATAGCTCTCAATAGGGGCATAAGGAGGGGCAGCAACACCATTTTTGAAAAGAAGTGCTCCTCCCTGTTCGAGTGCAGGCAGATCTTGGGTAGGGAAATGGTTACAGACTGGCCAATTTGATACTGTCTTACCCCCACCAAAAGATCTGCTTGGAGATCAAGGGGTCCATCCCGGTTTAAACCTTTACAGAATGGTCTCAGGTTTGACATCTTGAAGAGGTGATAGTCACCCGTTATGTACCTGTTCCTTTCAATGAGCTGGAATGTAACTGTCTTATCCGCTGAGAGACGTTATGTTCAGCACGCTTTAACAGCCATTTGGCTACCTATTCTCTATTGGTTATGAGGTTAGGCAGCAGGGAAAGGGTGTTTAACCTGTGTTAAGTTGACGGACCCTGTGACAGAATTTATCTTTTAAAGATAATATTTAACCTCTTAAATTGTCTCAAGGTCCATCCAAGCAACGACCTTGACTCCAGAAGTGACTCAAGATGTCTGCAAGACATCTCAAACCAACAACCCCGACTGATAACCACTATCAGTGCTACAAATCACTCCTTGTTTTCCACCTAGCCCTCCATATTTTACATCCACTATCTGTAGTTAAACTCCATGAGGGCCTGCATGCCCTTTTTCATAAGGCGTAATCAGGCCTTTTTAGACCTCGTAATTCATAGGCAGCCTCCTCAAAAATCAACGTAATTCGTAATAGGACATTAGCCGCAAATCGTAAAGTGGTAATCAGCTCTGAGACTTTAATGTAATTCGTAATCGGCAGCAAAAATTTTGCTTAATTCTTAATCACTACCCCCCATGCAGGCCCTTTCCCATCTTTATACGTGGGAGGTTTTCTTTACTCTACTACGCAGGTAATGACAAATGCTGTAGCTTTTTCAGTTGCCCGGATGACCAGTGTACCAAAATATACATCCCTGACAGATTTGGATTGATGACGTACTAGTCACAACAAACTTGCTGCCTCATTACCCTGGAAAACAGGGCCGTAAAAGTTGGAGACTTGTAGGGGGGGCCCTCATGACCTTTTCCATAGAGCGTAATCAGCCGTTTTAATTCTACGTAGAGCACAGACGGACCTCTCTAATTCAACGTAGAGCGTAATTGGCACATTGTGCATATTCGCCATTTTAATTTTGCATAATGCGTTGTAGCCACTTGGAATTTATTGTAAAGCGTAACTAAGGGGTTTCCTGAATTTAGCGTAATACAATTATACATACTAGTAGTCAGCTCTCAAAATTTAGCGTAGAGCGTTGTCGGGGACCCCCCATGCAGGCCCCTTGTAGTGAGAAAGGTCAGGGCTTTCAGTAGGAGGGGAAATCTAGAACTGATGTGTTTTTGATTGGTTTGTGTTTTTGATCCCAGGGACAGGCCAAGAACATAAAGTTTATGCAGCCTTTTAAACAGGTTGTTGGTCTCTTTATGATCTGATCTTTAGCTAGTCTCCTGTTACTTGCTTGCCTTCTCCTAGAGAACCTTGTACTCTAAACAACCTAGGGACATTCACTCCTTAACAAATATCCCATGCACTGTACTGTTGAGAAGAATAGCATACAGATAGTGACATACCTTGAAAATATGAAATACCAGATGATTCAAAGGAACTGTTACACGGGTTTCACAAACGTACACTCAATAACATGGACGACTATTACAGTTTATCTTTAAACAGAGGAAACTTTTTAAGCTAAGAAAACAGTTCAAAGAAGCCGACTTATGTATTTATCAGTTAGTCCTAACGTTATGAGTCATCAGTCTTTTGTTAAAAGATAGACGGAAAGTAGCAGGCAAAATCCACACAGCTCATCTTACATGTAATTATCATTGTCTCCAGACTGGATTTTTGTCCTTGTCATTTTCTAGAGGTACTAGTATTCAAATAGCTACACACTTTGACAAACAAACAAACATACTGTAATTGTAAATGTTTACAGGAATAGAAACTGATAATAGACCATGTCATACACAACTTTGAATATCTACTGGTGAGGAAAATTAAAGATAGAAATACTCTTTATTATGTTGCCCCATTGAAATAAAACACAACACAGTTTTGGTCTATGGAAACTAAAGTCTTCTAGGGTTTCTTGATGTAGAAATAGGGCACATTTTGATCTTCTCTGTTGTCATCACGCTTTGAAAAGCCTATTATGTACAAATCCTATCAATTCCATGTCCTAGTTTTACTAAAAAGAAGGCTAACACAATTTTCTGCTCAAACTGTTCCCCCTCTTGGCAAACAGTAATCCAATTAAATTAGACCTAGAAAGCCAATGGGGCTTTAGAATGCCTCAAAGAGAAACATTTTTGTCCAAGGACAAATGTTGATGGCACGACAGTACGTCTATTCTGAATCAAAACAGACAAGAATGCCCCACACACAGTTGACAGGCACCTGCGCCTGTAAGACACAAAAGATTCTCGAACCCCAAGATGATTTTTATCTCGACAGAGCTAATTTTGGTTAAAAGTTAACCTTGAAAATACAATGGACAAGGACTGGCAGACACTACGAGATAGGTATCAAGTCTCAACTTTTGTGGAAGCTAATCCTCAAGCTCAAAATAAGACTGGGTAAGACATAAAATATAAGAGTCTGATATGGATATCATTATTATTGGACAGATACCCCCAGCATCAGTAGGCTATCTCATGGCTATTGTATACTACAGGCTTGGTTCACATGTGGCAAGCCTTGGGGTACTCTCCAAGCAGAGGTTTGGGTTTTGGGGGTATTTTAGTGTGTTTTTAGGCTTTTTTGGGGGGGGAGGGGGTTTCTTTTGCACTGAATTTTTTTTCCCCAAACCCAACCTCTGCAGGTTTGGTGGGGGAAAAAAATTCAGTGCAAAAGAGAAACCCCGAAAAAAAAGCCTAGAAACACACTAAAAATACCCCCCAAACCCAAACCTCTGCTTGGAGAGTAGCCTTGGGGCACCTGTCAGTCTTTTGTGTACTACTGTACAGCACCATTAGGACAGGAATGTTGTTTTTCCATGTATAAGGGTCACAAAGCTAAACCAATCTAATTTCTAAGTTGTGATGTTGAGTAACATATGGGTTAAGTTTGTAAGCACACAGGTTTAGAGAGTGCATTTACAGAAAGGCGAATCTTTGTACTCAGAGCCTGTTTTCATGTTGCTTTTGCTAAATATATTCACCATATATCTAAAATGACATTTACAAGGGAAGGAAGACACTAGAAACCTGAAACTTCTGCACTTAAAAATGTTATTAGATATGGTGCTATACTTTTAGAACTTTCTACTATGAATGCAGACACGAGGAATAAAAGACAACAATATGGTATCTCCATAGTAGACTTATAGTTCAACAGTAGTTTTCATACCAAATTTTCAGTGCCCCACCCCCTCCTGAAACATTTGCGAATCATACAAACAGTACTTACCGGTAGAAGGAGTAAGGAGTCTATGGAGTGTCTTGCAGCCCCTCGTCGAATGTTACAGAACTCTAGGAATTCTTCATCTGTTTCTCTCTTCTGCCTCAGCAACCTACAGCAGGGGAAAGAATGTCAGCAAATCTGCCCCGGTACACAAAGGCATGGGCCGCTGCACACACCGGGTCAATAACGCTCATATTTAACCTGTCCAGGAAAAATTACTGTCATGACAAAAGGATTGGCACTTCAACATGTAACACCAGGACATTCGCAGTTGTAGAAATGCAGACAATTTTACACTCAAATAATTCTATTATACAAAGGTTAGTAGAAAGAGGATAGCATGATAGTATACAGGGGTGTATACTATAAAGTAATTGTGCACACAAAATAAAAAGATGACAGTGTGGAAGAAAATGTACTTTTACTGAGACTTGGAGTTAGTCAGGAGAAGATGTCATTGTCCGCTATCCTACCTTGATAGTGTTGGCTTTTCTAACCTAGTAAGAAAGGACTGTTCAAGCTTTCTATGATGATCAGAAATGAGTGAAAAAAAACATTTGAAAACACTAGAGTAAAGGACGCTACAAATGCACACAGTCAGGCCCCCTTCGGTCAATAGACAGTTGCTTACAGAAGGGTCATACTGCATACATACCCCTCCTGTTTTTCTCCAGTCAGAATGGAAACGGACCCTCATTGAAGTGCCAATCACCCAATTCAAGGGACAAAAATAGATTGCGGTGACCCCATGACCTATGCCTCTCTGATTGTGTATTGTGATTTTGCAATATTCAAATGAGGAGCAATACAATCTGTGCGTCAGGCCTTCCGGAACAGATGGACATGGCTGACCACCCCCTTCTGTGTTACTATGGAAATGGCAGGTTTCTAAGATACTGCCCGATTCTATAATGCATATGCATGATGTATAGAATCTTTTACTTTCATGTGCATCCACAAATATGAAAAGAATTTTTCCTTTAAACTAAATACTTAATGTTTTGCAGGCAGAGAATAGACTACTCCATACAGTTTAATCTATTATATTATAGTATGCTATCTGACCATGCATGCCGAGCCATTAGGTTTTTCAAATGCTACAAAATTAATGAAAAACACTAATGGATTGCTGTGGTCATGTACTGTATCATTTGAAACTGGTACAATGTATTCCCAAACAGAAATACTGTAGCAGCCCTACAAAACATGATAGCTACACAGATCTGTAAAAAAATGACTAGAATTTGAAAGGAAAGTTTACAAATTTGACTATATAAAACAATAGCTAATAGCATACCTGTCTTCCCATGTGTTACCAATGAGAGGCAAACACAGCATCTTTCCAAAAAGCTGTGCTCTAGATCCCAACAAAGTCTCTATTTCCCTCTCCAAGTAATCCTACAACAGCATCTACACAGCTTCTCTAGTCCCAGAGGCAGTATCCAAATGGCTCCTCTACTGACTATTGTTACTGAGTTTGTTTACTGGGTTTGGGGATACCCTGATCCTATATACAAGAACTCCCCATTCTGATGCAAATTTTGTGTTAGGTGAGACAGAGTTCAAAGGGCTTAGCGAAAGAAAAGGGAAGCAAACTGTTTGCGCAAGACGTGTGAAAAAGGTGAGAAGTTTTGCGAATCCACAAATTAGTAGATTACTGATTGTCATGCTAATTAACAAGGAGAGCTACTGGCCAGCAAGGTGGTGGGGTGGACAATATGGAGATTTGCATAAAAATGAAACCATTTGAAAGGAGTCTAAAAACACAAATTATACAAAATTATCATATATATGGATAAAAACTAACCTACCCAAGAGACTAAAAGGAGTCTAAAAACACAAATTAACCAAGAATTATCATACATATGGATCAAAACTAACATACCCAAGAGACAAGTTTTTTCCCACGGAAAAAAAATAGTCAGAAAGTGAGAATGGGCCATGTCAGTATTGTGTGCAGGATGTTATGACAAGGTTTGTCTCTTGTCTGAAAGCCTTCCATACACTCAACTTTGAACTAAAGAAAGAAGGATAACCATGGGATCTAATACTAGTACTACCATCTAGTAGTATTTATAAACTTTCCACATGTTGTAAAAGTTGTGCTCCTCCAATAAACACATCGGACATAATGATATTATAAATGTAACACTGTAATATTTACTACTCCCTAACACTACCAGATTACACATCTCTCCCACCTGAAAATAAGTATAAAGATATCTCCATTGCAACATCCCCCAGCCAGTATCTTGCAGTTAGTTGCACATCTAAACTGTACATACCTGGCTGGGGTTGCTGCACTACAGATCTCTCAAAGACACAGTTTTTTAAAGTAGCCTGGCTTATACTATATAGATGTGATGGAGGATACTATATACCAGAAAGTTAGGAAGTCTTGCAGTCACCTAAAACAAACAAGGAAGTTCTAGAAAAAATAACAACACTTACATTCTCGTTTCCTTGTAACTCATGTAGTACTCATCATACTGAGACCACAGCTGCTTGGAGAAGATATTTCCTGTGGAGGAAGGATATTCTGGTCAGACATCACAGATCAAAGGAGCTATCTACAACATTCACACGGAATACACAGTGAATCAGCGAAGATCCTGAACAATATTGAAACCACCCTTTGAAACAGAAACTCAAAAGGCTGAGTAAAACTATTTTTCTATATACAACATTCACATGGAATACACAGTGAATCAGCGAAGATCCTGAACAATATTGAAACCACCTTTTGAAACAGAAACTCAAAAGGCCAAGTGAAACTCTTTTGATAGTAACTTGACTGACAAGTATAAGTACCAAGCAAGATCAGATTTCTTTTCACTTAGTAAAGATCTATCTTTTACCTAGTCTCTACCAGGCTTTAGCAGTAGAAATTAGCCAGATATAAAATAGACAGATATTGTCCAGCGATTTGGCCTACTAAAGGAGTATAATAAGAGAGACAAACTGTACTCCTTTAGCTGACTAACTCCCCTGGCATGTTTTCTGTCTATTTAGTCAATTTCTATTCTTTCTAGCCACCCACAGTATGAAACCTGGTAGAGGCTATCCTCTATCATACAAAACACTTACTTCTATTCCTGTGAAAAGGACAGGAAGAGAAACCTTAGACCCAGAGACAGGGTTAGCCAGGGTCCTTGTGATTTAGAGACAGAACTGACCACTCATTTCCCCAAAGGCTAACTGTCTGGACTTGGTGTCTCTGGCCAGCCTTGACCAATCCACGGGGAAGCCCCTATTAACTTAATTAAGGGTTAGTATATTAACCTTGTCCTGCTGTGCGCAACATATGTTGCGCGGCACATTCAGTACCATCTATATAACACCCTGTATAGGTACGATTTGGGGGTATTTCTCGTGCAACGGATTACACCGCAGCGAAACGCAACGAATGCGGAAGTAACTATGCCACTGCAGGGCAAAATTTTTTTTTTTTTTTTAATCTAATTAAGACATGAAAATATTGAAAAATATTGTGCCAAGAATGCCAGCAGGACAAGGGTTAACTCCACATTTAACAAGGTTGAGAGGTAATCCCAAGCCCCAAGGGCAAAGACAAGAGGAAGTCTGGACTATAGGGGACATCAATTTCAAGTCCTTCAAGGCAGACCCATAAGTAACAATCATTAACACAACAATAAGAAGCAATTAATGATAAAGAGCTGTTAATTGGCTTTGTAGCAGTTCACTGATTCGTCCTAATGATGGTGGGTGAAAACTGTCAAAAAGTCTTTTCAATCCCTGAATGCTAAAACTAAAAATTACTTTAAGGAGTGCTAGAAATGTAAAAGCTCAAAAGCTGTTACAAACTAACTTTCTTAAAAAGTTGAAACTGAACAAAACAGACATACAGTATAGTATTGTGGAACTCAGACACAGTAACTTTGAATAACTCAAGAGCCAAGACCAAGGAAGACAATGGAAACGTCCAAATCATTGACCATGACAGGTTCAATTTTCCCGCCAAAAACACAAGAGACCTATAGCAAACTACAATTATCAAAAACCACATCTCTAGTCACAAATTGCTGACATTTTCATCTCAAAAATAATTATACTATCTGCAAAAAGTTCAAAGTCATACCTTGTGAAGTTTTCCTTTTCCTGAAAACCTTGAGGTGTTGGAAACCCATTCTTCCAAATAGAGTGAAACTTTCCAGAGTTTCAGATAAAAATTTTCCACATAAAATTCTATGTCCTGGATTCAGCCATACAAGCTAAGGTACCAGCTAGAATGATCAAAAAGACTTCCAATATTCCAGCATCAATGAAAAAAGAAGGGTCTTTTTCTGGTGAAAAAAAAAGTTCTCTGGTCAGCCAAGAGTGGTCAGCCTTGGTCAGCGACTAACGGTCAACTGAACGGAAACTCCGAAAGTCTTGTGGGAAAAAAACTATTAAGCCGGAGATTTGCATGTGACCACTGATGTGACAAAGCTCTCTGCGTTCCCTAGAGTTGTGCCAACATCTCCATCCTGCAGAAAGCCTTGTGAAGTCCCTGTCACAATAAGCACAGAGGAATAGCTTCCCTGGGAATCACAACACATTTCCACCCGTTTCCATGCCAACTGCTTACATCAGCACCCAAAATAGCTCGAGCAATGAAGCATCGTGGCAAACAGCTAGCATTGTTTCTACTCTCGTCTTGGGACGTTAGGTCCTAAATGCCCCGCGTTACAACCGAGCAGGCACCACCGAATCGAAACACTTATCGTTCGAATCCGGCCAAAACACATTAAAGCACAGGAATCCGTCCACAGCACTTAAGAAATAAGTTAGACTGGCAGTAATTTGTCACATTGACGTCAATGCTGACCTAGTCAAGAAACACTTTTTTTAAGGGTCATATATCAGATTCAGAAGACGACTGCGTGGATACTTAAGAAGGGACACATCCTGCCTTTTCATGCCTGGCTTCTGAAGTGAGACTGTCCTGTGTTGACAACTTGTCAGAAGACAAGCTCAATGAAGCATTGAATATTTTGTTTCCTCTCAGTGGGAAAAACTATACCCACGGGACCACACTGCCTGTCAGTCTAGACTAGACTTTAGAAAAAGAAAGACATCTTCAAGAAAGAGACAATAGGTCTTGAGGATCCATGTCAAATCTTCAAGACTGAAGATTCTTGAAGTGAGTCTAGAGTAGTCTTGAAGATATTCTTACAATTCAGAGACTTTCTGATATCATCAATTCTCATTTTCAAGAGAACTTAGCTCCAGTGCACTGTGAACCTACAAAACCTGGCTTTAGTGCATAGTGCTCTAATGAAGATGACAGACGGTCATTGAAATGACAGCTCTTGCCAAACAAGTGGTTTTTAGAAGGAACTTGCTCTCTGTTGAATAACAGATAAGGCACATGACTTACATAAAAAAAAACCTTTGTTGATAAATTTTTTAAAGTATTAATGAGTTACTGCTAGCTATAATAAAAATTTGTGTTTGATGAGCTATCTAGCTGTATGAACTTGGCTGAAAAGGAGAATAATGAATGAATGAATGAATGAATGAATGAATGAATGAATGATCGACTCTTCAAAGCTTCCTTCCAGTAATCTCCAAGCAGATACTACGGTGGCAAGACAGTAACCATTGCCCAGATGATTAACCATTAGCCATGGAAGTGGTCACTCATTTAACCAATGGTTACAGCCTTGCCACCGTAGGATCTGCTTGAAGTTTCGTAATCTCCAAGCAGATCTTTTGGTGGCCAAAAAAGATAGTATCCAACACGCGGACAGTAATCAGCCGGCCGACAGTATCCAACCGGCCACTGAAGGGTGGGCCGGCTGTCAGAAAAAAACGGGGCATAGAAAAAGGTCACAATCTTCCCATTCAACCTCTGCTTGGAGAGTAGAAGTTTTGCTCTCTAATCGATGTGTGTGGCTCTCCCCACTCTCCTTGCCACTGGAACATCTGAACTCCAGGAATTCCAAGACTTTTCCCATCAGAACGTGGGACGAGGTCATCCCTGTGATGAAGACTATCACTTTACCTCCCTGTTTATTTGCTATTGTTCTTTTTTTCAGTAGGATCTGTGCCGTGGATCCGAAACGTCGGATAAAGATCTGCTGACACGACCAGCGGCGTACAACGTCTACCGGGGGCAGCGCGATGTCAGGCAAAGTTGGCTAAACACGGGGCACAGTTTGGAAAGTTGTGTTCCGCTTAGGGAAAACTGTGGTGGCAGCAGCGGAGATCAGACGACACCCGACAATGGGGCAGTCGGAGCAGGCAGACTTCAAAGTCCCCCTCGCGCGATGGCACCGGTCTTTTGAACGGTTTATCAGTCAACGGTTGAAGTGGACCACAGGGGGACGGCCCGAAAGGTCTTCACCGGTCGTGCACTCCACAATAATAGAAAACGTTCTGGTATAAAATAGCCATCTGACAACAATGCCGGACTTGAGGACTTGAAAGCAAGGTTCAGCTTCCGAGCGCTGCGTTCCGTGCTACGGATCAGTCGTCGGTTGTAAGCGTTCAAGTACCACTAAGTTCTCTGAAGTGCGAATCGCCACCCAGCAAGTGCACAACATGCCAGTTAGCGCAAAGTACTACCAACCTTGGATAAAGACAACAGTAGGTAAATACAGTCGAACAGGGAATGGCATTTACTGAAATAGGATCAGCGTTTTGTTCATGTACTTGACCCGAAACGACCTCCATGTTGGTTCTTAACCCTCTATGGTAGTTGAATATGATCAAAGCACCTTAACACTTTTTTTAGCCGCAGAAACTCGAAGACATTTTTAGGTTGCATGACAACAAGGTGACATAAGTAAAGAGTGACACAATACAATAAAACCTACGGCACTGTTTCCGTTCACATAGCAGTGTTTTCGTTTGCTTCACCTAGCCTCCTACATAGAGTAATATCAGATGTGTTTGTTTTGTGGTAGTTCAGGAGTAAGTCAGGTAATAATATGTTTACATGACTTTTGACACTGAGGTGGAGTAGCTTGTTAACAGGGCTCCCCTTGACAACTTGAAACGGCAAAAAATTACGTAACCACAACTTTGTCGTCAGCTGATGGGTTACTTGGGAAAACCCCCCCGTCAACTTTTTTTGACCAAATATAGTCATCCTCATCTACAAATCTATTGCCAGAGAAAACAGAGGTGAGTTAGGGCTATCAGATTAGCATTGCACACTAGAAATGCATATTGTTCTTTGCTGTCTACAACGTAGGGAAGGTAAAAATATGACTTAGGCTCACCTGCTTACGATATCTACACCCTTTTCTGTGACCTTTCTTACTTTTTTGTTACTAGTATGAGGATTCTGGTAAAACAAATCCCCAATTTCTACCTTTTCCATCAGCCTGGGATACATTTGGAAAGTTTGCACACAAACATCCCACGATTTCTTGGCACGGTGGCCCAAGGTAACGGTAATCGAAACACTGCTTGTGTCAAAATAGAGGCGAGAGGCCCTGTTTCCAAATACCACCTTGACCACCTACGTGTTTCCTTTTTTAGAGGGCCTGCATGGGGGGGGGGGGTAGTGAT